TTGAAATAAGCAATCCATAACCACAAGGTTAGCAGACAGCAAAGCAATTGGCAAAGGTAAATGGATCATCTTATAGCCACCATCTCAATCCACAAATTACTTTTAAATAGAAAAATGTAATCATGTAATGTGAAAATGTAACACGCAACCTTGACAATCCAGAGATTTAAAATCATACGAGCATATCCGCCTGACAGCCCAATTGGTGGCCAATGCCAAAAGCATAGTCAGGGCAATCACAGAACTGATCCTACATTTGGCCCTAAGAAAAAAAGCTTGATGAACCATGTTACACCAACCGAGACAACCCCATGGGCCCACAGCCAGGCGAGCATCACAAAAAATTTAATATTTATATTTTTCATCAGAGAATTGATTCTATAGCATGATATTATAGAAGAACAGCTATGAATAACAGGCAAACGGGCTTGCTTATCTAAAAAGAAAAAATATTATATCCAATCACAAAAATATTTCTATTTTAATATATTTTCACAGGATCAATCATGTACATCGTTGTATTCATGATTTTAAAATGGCTGCTGCAGTCAGCTATAAGAAAGTTGTCCAATACTTAGGGTCCGTTTGGGACAGCGTTCACAGCGCTTCGCGGTAGCCGGAAGCGAAATTTTAATGTTTGGTCCGGCGTCCTGCTCGCGGTGGGACGCTAAGTTTGAGGAAAGCGTGCCGCGGGCAGAACCCAGTGGCCAGCGGCCAGCGTTCGCGGGGGAGATGTTAGCAACGATCGTCCATAATACCCCTCCTGCCCCGCCCTAACCAGAAATCTTTTTCTCGACGCAGAAAGGACCTTCTTCCCCACCTTCGCGTTCCTTCGCTCGACTACCGCTTGCCCTCCTCCCTCACTGTCGACGCTTCACTGTCGACGATTGCCATCCTCCCTCACTGTAGACTCAGGTATCCTCTCCCCCCTCCCTCCCTCCCTGTCGCTCCCTCCCTCTCTTGCTCCCTCCCTTTCTGCCAGTGATGGTGATGGTTTAGGGCACGTAGCACTTATTACCATTCCAAAGATATTACTTTGTTTTCCATAGATTCTTGCTTTGTGGATTTTTTTCTGTTCTTAAAGATAGTGAATTCCATGGCTTGACTTTATATATTAGGCTATCGTATTACAGACCTTAATGGTTCATATTTGTTTACAATCTATGTTAAGTAATGTTGCTTCCTCTCTTTGTAGATTAAAGCACTGTAGATTGAATGAGGTGGTAAAGAATCAGAGCTTATTTTCCAATGTGATTACTGGAGTTGGTTCCTTCTGGCAACGACGCATAGAAAGATGCTTACATAATTGTTGTTGTATTAAAAAAATGATGAAAGGAGGAGATTATGGTGAGATGCATAGATTGGCAAACAAATGAAACATCTATGACAAACAAATGAAGCAACCTTTTTTCACCAGAACAATTCCAGCTGAACAAGTATGGCAAACAAATGAAGCATCTATGCAGCCACCAATCACTCAATATGAGGAGGGATTTTTATATCCACAAACGCCTGAAGAGGCAAACATGATCTTTTTTATTATATCTTTTACTTACGCGACCTGTACATTTATTTTACTAAATGCTTTTCTGAATGTGTGTGTTGATGGATTATTGTCACATTGATTCATGAAGTCTATTTTTGTCAGTACTAAAAGCTTCAGATATTCAATTAGAAGGGATTTTTAACTTGAAAGGTTAGGAAGGTTGAGGAGTGGATCAATGAATATTCATTTTGATGTTTATTTTTTTTAAATCCTGGAAGTATTAGATAAGCAATAGTTTACTTATTTACATCATTGTTGAGAAAATGCACATAAAGAAGGCGGCATTAGGAGGACCAAAATAGCAGTGATTGATTATTGATATGTTGTAGTATGATAATGGCTGTTAATTCATGGAGGAATTCTTGATTAGAGATTCATGTTTTGGATTTTGTTAGATTATAAATTAGCGGTGATAAAGTAATTGATTAGCATTGGCTTTGGTGTAATAAATTTCTATTTTCTTCAAGATTACTCCTTTTATGCTTTAAAGAGATGGATCATAAATTGGTCAATAATGGGTAATACAATGGCGTTTAGTTTTGTTTATAAGAGGGTCTGCAGAGTGAGATGATAAGTCTGCTTTTTTTATTTTTCTCATTTAATCATACTATAATTTGAGTTAAAAAAAGCCTTCCTTTGCTATAATTTGAGTTAAAAAAGCCTTCATTTCCTATAATTTGAGTTAAAAAAGCTTTCCTTTGCACAAAAATAAGAAAATAGTTTGATTATTTGTTATAATTTAACTAATTTGATGTGTCATTTGCGCCTTAGGTCAAACTATCACCTATTCTTGCAAGATCAAATTTACTTATCACAAGGGATATAAAATGAGCAAATATTATGTTTTCTTTTGAACAGGTATTGCTTTTCAATTGTGCTTATAGCTTTATGTAGTATATAGATGGATTTCCATGTCTTAAATTTATTACAGCCTTTTTTTAAACAGTTTTACCAAAGAAGGGCAAAATTGTCATTTTTTCAGAAACAGCTGTTCTGTAGCTGTTTTTACACATTTGTACCAAACAGACAACCAGCTTCCTCGCAGCTCCTTCCCCGCAGCAGCTTCTTGGGGCAGGGGGGACACGGCGCCGA